AGCCCCTCTAGAAGTCCTCTAGTACCCGATGGAGTTCTCACAAGCGCAGCATCGCGTCGACCAACCTCTACCGTCCCAGGGAAGCCTCGAATAGAAACCCGGGTAATCTATCTCTTAGGACAAGAGGTACTTGTCCTGGAAATCTTAGTTTCTCTAAACACAGGTTTAGAGAGAAATATAAAGAAAAGGGAGAGAGATCAAATAGGGGAAGAAACACGGAGGAAAGCGTGGAAGCCGATCTCTCCAAGATTCTGGATCCCTGCTTGCGCTCGGTCCAGTTCTGTGAAGCACGACAGAACCCTGCGGTGAAGCCGAGAAGAGGGCAAACAGCAGTCCGCAGTCGGCATCTTTAGGGGAGGAAGTAGCGCGCCCGCGGCTGGCGGATAGGCGGACCGGCTGCCCTGAGGCCCCTCCAGGCGCCACAATCATCTGGCCACCTGACGAGTCGCATTCCCCGGCGCGGCGGGCCTAGGGCTCATAACCTGCGGTGCGAGGAGACCTGAAAGCAGGGCTGGATGCGCGCGATCTCTACTTGGAGCCTCGGAGTTGAAAGCACACGTGCTGGGCACACGTGTGGCGTGAGTGCGTGGGCCCCTCTCCCGACCCTTCCTGTAGCGCGGAAGCGCTGCCGACTCGCTCCCTGGAGCCTCTGCCCCGCCTATGCGCGCGCCCCACAACTCATAGTTTCCCTTGTGTTGTGTGGATGGATGCTCCAGCCCGGCTCATAGTAGGGGAGACTCAAGACTGGCCACTGATCAGTGGGTACAGAGTAAACCGGGGGCGCGCCCGGTTGCACGTGCTCGCGCCCTGTCGCACCAGACCTGGCCACGCAGCGACTGGAACCTGTTGCAGCCTCGGGCCCTGGGGAACATGGAACAGCTGAGAAAGAAACGGGGAGCAGCTGGGGAAGGCTGGGCAGGAAACAGAGGAAACAAAGTTAACCCGGGCAAGTTCGTCCTAATTGCTCCAGGGCTTCCTGGGCAAAGTCTCCTAGCGCAACCGGCAGAGTGAAACTCTTAAGTCTTCGAAACGCAGCGGGCAGAGCTGGAGCGCTTGCGTCTACCGGACCACCCCTCGGTTCGTACCCCGGACCAAAAGCAGACACACGTGCTCTCCAGCAATCCTAGGGCATCAAAATCAGACCAGGCTGGGAGGAGGGTACCTAGTGAGAAGGCATGGGGCAGGGAGTAAGCAGCTGGAGCCTCGTTCTCCCGAGTTCTCCCGCCACAGCCTGCACGTCGCGGCTAGCAACCAGGGGTGCAGTCTCCTCCTTACGCCTCACAGTGGGTGAGATCCGGCTTTCCAGCCCCAGGAGGCGCCCTCCGACGGAAGCTGGACATTCCCTAAAGAAGTGCACAATTAAAGTCGGAGCAAAGACCCTGCGGGCCCCAGCGGTCCTCTTCAGTTGTACTCAGGAAACAGAAAGACATAAAGAAAATGACTTTAAATGACAGCCTCGCTATCCTAAATGGCTATAATATCCAATTTGGGATTTCTAGTAAAATTAAAAAGTAAAAATGAAAAGTAGATTTTTGTCTTTATTATTAAAATCGAATTAGAAAAAAACCTATGACCCTGTTTGGAATTCCTATCTTGCTTTACTAGTAAAGTCAGCCAGTATCGACTGAACACCCCCCACCTCCAAAAAACGCAGTTATGCCAGACGCGATCCTCTGGTTCGAGTTCTGCCAGATGCACAGATTTAGCAGAACCTTGCCCGAAGACTCTTGCAATCGGGTGCGCTCTTTTTAGTCGTGTCTGAGACTTATGGGGAGGATCTGTTGACTGGCCGTCAGCGTCGACTGGGACCCCGAACTCCACCCCTCCTCCGTGGGACTCTAAAACTGCGTCAAGTCCCGGCTCGCGGGGTGCTCAGACGGCTTGAATTACTGAGAAATTTCTGCGCGCGCCCACGTAGGGACAGTTTCTGTTCCCAAATAACGGGCACAGGTTGGGGGTTACCTATGACCTCTTTTGGAGGAGGATGTTTTAGGGATACTCCCAGACCGCTATTCAGCCGTCAAAATAATACTGAAAAAAGTTTTAAATCCGCAGGGCTAGATACCCTCTTTCTCCCTCCTACCTGGATAGAACCTGTCTCTATTTTTGAGGTGGCGGCGGGCACACAAGCCTCTAAATAGGCGCCTCTCTCACCGAGAGAAGCGAGGCCGGTCCCAGAGACCCCCAGCCCTCACTCTCCGAAGCCACCTCCGCGCTGCCGCGCCGCGGATGAAAACGGAAACGGACGCAAGTGCGGAGTTTGGCTGGGAGCTGGAGGCGCAAAGATGCGCAACACGCGAGATGCCGGGAAGTGCCTTCGTATCGGTACCCTGGATAGGGCCTGACGGGATGGAAATGTATCTCGTACCAGAAAACTCTGTGATCAAAATATTTCAAGGAAGTAAAACTTTTCCCTCACAGACCTCTTTGTATCTTGGAAGTATTCACTGCCGACGTCTAGGTTTAAAATATTATTAGATAATTAAATATTCGTGTTGAAGCACGGACAAAGGCAAGAGAGTCTCATGGCGAAGTGAATTTGAACCTTCAAGTGACATTTTTAAGTTGGCGGAAATACCTGCTTCTCCTTGTTTGGCTCCGTGCACTCTCTGAAAATCAGTGCCCGGTAAGACTTATGATCGGTACTTTTAGCGGAGGGGGCACACCAAGTCTTTAGAAATGGAGTTGAGCACCAAAAAGAAATACACAGGATAAGGTCGTTGGGTGCCCCTGCCACCGCGAAGTGCTATCGGCTTCCCGGAACAGGCGTATCTCTCTTGTTAGAATCAGGACCAGAAACTCAAACACTCGCGCTCGCTCTCTGAAAGCGGAAGGTCGGAGCGAGGGCCGCCTGGGCATTCGGAGAGACTGCGGAGGTCGCCTGGACGGTGGGGAAGCAGAGCCCACGAGGTAACAGGCGGTAACGCTGCTCACCCGTGCTTTGAATTAAGGGCATCTCTCCATAAATTCAGGGCTTTCTAAGTAACCACTCAACGAGGGTCTAGACACCGTGAAGACTTAAAATTAGACCCTCCCTCGGAGCTAAGAAGTGCATGGCCGAGTCTTCGAAACAATGATTAAGTGTTTTCCACAGCTGGAAGGACACACAATAACTGAAATTCTTAAGAGAACTTGGGGAGAGGAGGACAATATGAAAGCCCCACTGTAAAGTTTTAAACTCTTTCTAAAGAAGTTCCATGTAACGTGTGTCTTTTGAAATGCAGCGTGTCTGTTGCTTTTCCTGGTCTTTACCCCTAGAAAGACCAGGACAGGAAAAGTCCTCAGCTTCGAGGATCCCGGAAGACGCAGGAGAGATGCGTGCGAGATTCATTCCCCGCACCACCCAGTGCGCAGCCAGGAGTTGAAAATTGACTTGATAACTGTGGAGCAGAAAAAGCCCTAGCCACTTTTCCATTTAGGAATACAACTAAACTTACGCGGAGCCGGTGCAATGTGCTCGTGAACATAGGAGAGAGTCATCCCTCCCTCCTTTCACCCCAAATTCTCGGGAGGCGCACTACCTGACATCCCATTGGCCTCAGGTGATGCGCAGCCGCTTCCTAAACCTAAAGGGAGAGCCGGCAACAGAGTTCGTTTCTTGTTTCAACTCTCTAGGATTCTGAATCGGAATACAATTGTCTCGGGGCCGCAGACACCTGGGAGACGAGTGCTGACGGCTCTGCAGACCCCCAGCATTTCTAAAGGGCGTTCTCTTTCTCTCTGCTTATTAGTGTGTGGCTTTGGTTGGGCAGAAGTTGTGAAAATAAAAGGAAATGGCAAGCCCCATCTTTTCAAGAAAACCAGGAAAGTTGGACATTTTGCTTATTATTTAATCTATTATGTGGCCACCCACTCTTGCCCCTCAGAGTTACCTGCAGAGAAATGCATCTCGTAAAAATAACCTCAAATTACCACGGAGACCTGCTTTCTTTCTTTTGCCTAACCCTCAAAACATCTTATCTTAAAAAGCAAGAAAAGGCAAAGTAAAAATAACCTGAGAACTCTCCTGGCAATTTCCTGTTCTAACTCTGCGTTTTAAAAACAATAACACTCTCAGTAAATTTCAGTGACCCTGAGGCCACCTGAAATTCACCAGGGTCAGTGAAGAAGACAGTCTCCCATCCTGTGCTTTCTAGCAATTCACAGTTGACCTGAGGAGAAACTGGCTGGACCTCTAACGGCCAAGGACCAGGTCACTGAGAGGAAGTTCAGACCAGAAGTGGCTTCTACAGCGTTAGTTACTTTCTTTGCTAAAAGTTGGCGCTGGGTGAAACCCTAGACACTGTAGTATATCTTGTTTGGGGCTGACAAGACCCAGGACCTGACAAATGGATATTTTAGTCTTTATCTGAGAGACTTTTAAGACAGAAATACTATTCAAAAACTGCAAATTGAAGCTCATCACTACCCACTGAAGGAGGAAAACAGAAAGTTGTAAGAAATGCCTCTACTGAGTTCTGCTCTATGCCAAAGACCACCGACCCAAGGCCCAAAGGGCCCAAATGCTTGGCTCTTCCTCCAAGATCATTTACAGTAGTAATAAGTAGAGGAATTGGAAAAGTCAGAGATTGCATACAACACACTTAAAATCTGTGTTGGCTTTCTGAGTCTTAAAAAAGATACTTTCTAAACACTGTGCAAGACAAAAACTTGACAGGACTTGGGACCCTGCAAAACTTCAAAAGCTGTTGGCTTTCCTGAACTTCTCTTCTGAAAGCTGCACTTAGTAGCAAAGTTAACAGAAGAGCTGACACTCAACTGATTCTGATAAATGTAGGTTACCACACTGGAAGATTCTGGTTAAGGAAAAATATTGCACTGGATCCTCTGGATAATTAGTTCAGTTCCTCAGTTCCTTTTGCCAGAATACATCTAGGCTGTCAGTTTGAAACTCAGATGTTGAATAAGTGATCTAACTTAAATCAATCTCCAATTCTGTCTATGGTATATTGCTGTTTAGTCATCATTTTTACCTGACCCAGAAAGAAGACAAAATTTGGTTCATTTACATAGTTTATTGTTGTAAACATTAAAATTGTCTTTCTCAAAGAAAGAATTTATCAGAAAAAAAAATCAGCGTCTCTAACTGTCATACACCATAGAAAAAAAGGCAGTGACTCATTTCATGTGCCATACTGGAAATATACAAAGAAAAATACTACAGAATATGGCAATATTAAAATTCTTACTCAAACATAAAATAATATATTAACTGACAATCTTAGACATTAAAAAAAAAACAAACATTCAAAGTGCTCAGTAATTTCCAGGGAGTTATGTATATTATAAGCACTCTGGAAATGGTCAAAAGCTGCTGCATGCAAGTTTTGTTTAGCTTTAGACAACAAAATAATCAAGATATAAACTTTCTTTTATCAACATCAACGGTACATACAACACTTACAAACAAGGAATGTTGGACGGTGTTACAAACACTATGTGTCCCTTTTGATTCTCTGATATGTAATACTTGTGCCCACCTATTTTACAATTGAGAAAATGTTTAAGCTCAGATAACTACCAATCTTTATAAAATCTAACAGACTACATAGTGTCTGAAATACTATTTATATAATATAGACATTACTGAAGTAGCAAGTGCCTATAATATTTTCAACCTAGAATCAACATGCTTGTCCCTTTTTGTGTAGTTATTTTTTTTTGCAAACACACTTATCTTTTAGAATTTGCAATATTTATTCATAAATAGGCACAAAATAATTTAAAAAGCCAAACTGCATTGGGTAAATTTACAAGCCTTTGCCTTCTTCAACTCATGCCACCCACGCAACATTTAGTTTTACTATATATTACAGCTTTCTTTACAGCAGAAAACTTTGAAGTCTTTTAAAGGGCAATACTTTTGTGTCCCCTTACGATGTGGGTGTGTGTATATATGTGTGTATATGTATTACATTTGTCTTAACTGCAACAACCAAACATGGCCAAATGTTTTCCATCACACATTAGTAATCTTCCTTCTGAACAATAAAATTATTTTTAAATTGATAATAAAAAGTTTATACCACTGTGTGTAGTCCGTGTTCTAAATCCAGGATGCCACGGAGCCAAAATGCCCTTTCAGGTTCTGCCTGCAGGTTAGGAAATAGCAACAGTTTTTGTTTTTGTTTTTGTTTCTGTTTTTGTTTGTCTGTTTGTTTCTTTACGGAACAAGGGGCTGGGGGTGTCTGGGAGGGGTGGGGGCCAGCTAGAGCTGAGGCAGCTCAGGGGGATCTCTCTGCCCTTGTGACTTGCCCCCTCTGGACTTTTAGGTTTCTTTCCAGTTCCTCTGAAGTGCATGGAAGGAGGTCTTAGAAAGGTAAAGTGTCCAGGAAAAGTTTGTCAATTATTGCTGGTGGTGGTACCAAGTCTTCCAGTTTCAGGTAGAAAATGCGCTGTAGCCCCTGTGTGCAAAGCGTACGGAGTTCTGGGAGTTTCCCCAACAGTTTGGACAAATAGTTGGGGCGGTTCAAGCCCCCATTATTGAAAGTCACGTGGTCTTTGAGACAATTTACAATCTTATTTTGCAGTTCTTCCACTCTCTTGGGTTCCTTGAGCCCGTGTCTCTCTGCAGAAAACACAATCAGAAACAAAAGGCGAATGCACAAAGCAGTTAGCTAGCTGACAGGATCAGGGAGGGTCGGCAGCAAGGGGAAACCGGGATGAATCCCGCTGGGCAGTTCTGGAGGAGAAGTGCCCTGTGCCTGTGGTACTGACCTGTGACCATAGCCAGGGCAGCAATGCAGGAGAAGGCAGAAATGTCGATGTTCATATTCTGCAAGCTGGAGGAGAATTCAACAATGGAATCAATCCATTCCCCAAAGCCACGAACGCATTGCAACCTGTGCAAGACCACCCCATTGCAAAAGATGAGTTTACCCTCCACTGGGTTGGACCTGCAATTAATACCAAAGAGAGAGAGGGGAGAAAAAGAGAGAGAGAGAAGCTAAACAACTAATTACTTGAAGAGCAATAAATGAGGGATTTAAGAGGCACCTAATTACCGAAGAGTTAATAAAATGTAGACCAGTGGACCTTGAAAGGGTTTAATTTCATAACAATCAAGAACGCCCCCTATCCCACCTCCATCCCACTCATTCAAGGCTTCTGGGCTCATTCCTTCCTTTCTCTTCCTTTGATCTACTCCCCTTTCCCTCTATTCCCTCTCTTTCACTTCCCATTCTGTTCTTCCCTCTTCCCCCCACTTTACTTCCATTTTTCTCTTTCTTTTCCTTTCTTGATACCTCTCTTCCTCCATACCCAGCCTTCCTGGATTGCTCTCTCCATTACCTGTACGCTAATCGCAGCACAAATAGTTCTAAGAAAGCCGATTCGAAAAGCAGGTCCTGGTCGGCTTTGGGCAGGTCAGCGAAGCCCGGGATCTTCTCAGCCCAGCCCCTGATGATCTCCATGGAGCCAGTCAGGAGATCATAGAATTGCTGGATATGCTGGGTGTCATCTCCACTCATCTGATAGTCAGGGTTCGCCTGGAACTGGAATTTCATTTTAAAAAGCACTTAATGAGGTTCTCTAAAATATATAACCCGTGAAATTGCTAACCTCGTTTCTAGTAGGGGAGCCAGGTTTTTATAACAATTAAACCTCTCTCTGACCAGTAAGGAAATTAGATGTTCCGGGGCAATTAATTCAATTAGGGATGGTGCTATGAGGTCGCTGCTTTAAATATGTAAATTACCATTTCCATACAGACTAAATACAGTGCCAACCAGCCCTGGGAAACGTTCACTCTTATCTCCACAAAACAATTGACACGTTAGTATTCATGCCAGTCCCAGAGTGGGTCTCGAGCAGAGACGCCCTTTGCAAATCTTAATAAAATTGCAGAGGCTTCTAGGTTTGCCCGACATATTTCCTTCAATTAAAGCCCACACATTCCTCACAGCTGGGGTAAGAGGAATCTGACCACTTGATACCCCACCCACTACCATTCCTTATACCCTCTCTCTTCCTCAACTGCCCCACCACCACCACCAAGCAGGCATCCCTCTCTCTGACAATGCCAGAGAGGATGAGGATTAAAGCATCTCTATGAAGGACTGGGGATGTACCCCCAGGCAGAGCACTTTGCATAGCCTCTGGTTTAGGCATCAGAGGCATTAGCGTGCGAGTTCGTGTGTGCACAGTGGTACTGGAAGGGGCCTCACAGAGATTTCACCACTGTGGCCTGTCCTCTCTTACTTCCTCTGCCCTGGCCTCATGTCTACACCCCCAGCAACAAGGTCTGTCTTCTGTGGCCCTGCCCAGAACTGTGAAGTCATGGTCTTGCCTGCTTCCTTTATCCCTTGGGTCTGGAGGTTAGTCATGAGGGGGGAAGGGGTCCTGCCCATCTGTCAGTTTGTCCACATGATAAGCCCCGCCAGCTTCTTACCCTGGAATAGTCCAGGCTGGTCATAGCCGGGTTGGAGTCGACATGGGCCCTGACAAGGGCACTGATCAGACTCACCGGGGGCGAGGGGGGAGAGGGCTCCTGTGGGCTCTTCGGTTTCGAGGGTAAACGACCTCTCCGGCCTTTTAAACTGTCCGTGCGAACCACTGCAAAGGAACAGCTGGATGAGCGCTGGACCCAGCTGCCACCTTGGCCCCTCCCCGGGGAAGGCCGCAGCCGCGGAGCACCGGCAGGCAGAGCAGGGCCCCACTGCTTGTAAAGACTTTACTGAGGAGAAAAATTTAAAAATGCAGGGTTGTTTTATGTCTTCTTCCAAATGGGTCGTATAGTTCAAGGCGAGAAGGGCCTTGGAGGCTTTCTCTAGGGCAGGATGGGCAAGCAGGCAGCTGGTGGGTCTTAGAGGCCAGAGGCAGGTAGGGGGTAGCAGGAGAGCCCCCCAACCCGCTTCGGCTTTGAGAAGTGGAAAGTGGGGTTGGGGTAGGAGCAGCGGTTGCCCAAAGGCGAAGACTGGGGAGTGGGCTACTTGCCCCAACCTACCTTCTTTGACCATCCCAACAGCCAGGCACTTCTGAAATCGGCAGTACTGACAGCGATTCCGACGCCGCTTGTCCACTGGGCAGTTTTTATTTGCTAAACATACGTATTTCGCGTTTTTTTGCACCGTGCGCTGCAAAAGGAGATAATATAGGCCGAAGAAAAATATTTTTCTCTTGAAAATCCAACAACCCGGGGAATCCAGAGACAATTTCTGAACGGCCGGGATCCCCACTCCCTCTCCACAAACAAACACATACACAACTACTTTATTATTATTATTTTTTCCTTTTCCTTTCTCTGTCTTTTCTTATTCCTCCCCCAGGGCATTTAACAGAAGAAAATTGATAGCGTTAACATTTGAGCTAACCTTGCCGCTCCTTGCTGTGTTTTATATGCCAAGAGAAGGAGAAGGAGACGCTCAGTAAATACAAATCCGTGGGCATTCATATTATTTACATTCCTTAGAGACCTTCTCTATTTAAAATGATAAGATTATTCAATCAGGATGGCGAAATAAAGAGATCACTTAATTTGACCATAGGGAATTCTGTTCCACTTGGTTAGCTCAGACACGGTTCTCTGTCCTAACCAATTTCAATCTGAACAGAGAAGACAGCTCCTAGCACATGCAAATGACCCTCTTCCAATTCGGCTCCGGCAACTTCGGGCGGGGGCCTGCCGGCTCCTTTGCGTGCGGGGGATGCGACCCCGGTCTGTCTGTCTTCCTATTTCCCTTTCTCAGGCACCAGAAGCCCCAGCCGAAGACCCGGGGCGGCGGCAGGGCAGCCTCCGCGGACCCCGGGAATAGGACGGTCCGGGACCAGCTGGGGCTGGGCGCCTGCACCACTGCGGAGCTCGCATTCTGAGGCTCTGGGCACTAGGGGGCCCCTACCTGCCTCCTCTGCCCCCGGCCTGGCTCACCTTAAAGAACCCTTTGCAGCCCTCACAGGTGCGCACGCCGTAGTGCTGGCAGGCCGCGTTGTCGCCGCACACGGCGCACAGCCCCTCGTTGGAGGGGGAGCCCCGCGACGGCGGCGATGGCACCTGCGTGTCGAGCAGCTGCGAGGCGTGGCCGATCTGCAGGCCGGGGAAGCCCATGGACGCGGGCTTTCGGATGGGATTGGGCACCGCGAAGGTCTGCCCGTCTACCACGTGGTGGCTGCCCGCCGGCTCCGGGTTCATAGGGACATGCAGAGGCCCGTCGAAGCGCATCTGGCAGCTAGACACGGGGGTGCCGGGGGGCGACTGCTTAAAGGAGAAGAGGGAGAGGCGGGAGACCGGCGTTTTCCTCTGCTCGATCATGTGCGTGGTGGCCACGTAGTTCTGGTGGAAGTTGTGGAGGGAGCCTGGGTCGTCCCACATGGGGCTGTGCTGCACCTGGAAACCCGGGGTGGTGGGCGTCGGGGGCGAGGAGGGCTTGTAGTAAACCGACCCGGAGTGCGGCATCATCTCCTCGGATTGAGGGGGCAGGTGGCTGTGTTGCTGGTAGTTGTGCATCTGAATGTCTTCTACCTTAATGGAGGACTGCTGTCCGGACAGGGGCATTTGGTACAAGCAAGGTGGCTTGACGTCGTAGCCTGTGCTGTAGTTGTCCATAAAGGTACTGAAGCTGGGGAGAGAAGTGGTGGCAGTGATTTCAGTGTTGGTGAGGTCCATGCTAAACTTGACAAACTCTGGAGTTAAGAAATCGGAGCTGTATTCTCCCGAAGAGTGGTAACTGTAGCTCTGAGAAGCGGGGCTGGCTCCTTGAGGCGAGGACCCATACTGCGCCTGAACACAAGGCATGGCTGGAAATGAAACAGGGTAATATACACTCAGCCTGGTCAACTGAACACTTTCTCCCGGGCTCGGGTACACCTGGAGCTACACCGGCAGCCCGCGGCAGTCAGAAGCGAGTAGGGGCGCGAGAGGAAGGGCGGAGATTGCAAATACTGCGAGGCCAAACAGTGCAGGGCAAGGAAAGACTGATCCAATAAAGACCCAGAATTGGAAAGCTATTGAGGGTCTCCATTCCCGGATATTTCCAACACCTCCCCCTTCATCCACTTTCATGGACAATCCCGCTCCAATGAGCCTTTCCTCTGAAGCTTTGGTTCAGCAAGCTCAATCTGGAAATAAAGTTGAATTGCACAATGAGAAACTTGTTCCCGAAGGCGATGGGTCGGGAAAAATTTAAGTTACAGGGCTTGCTGAGAAAGATCCCATTGCCCTGTTTCTTGACTTTTAAGGAACCCCGGGGAGAGAAAGAAAAAAAAAAGTTGCACTAACCTTCAGCCGAGTTACAGGCGTTTTCGAGAAAACTAAAGGTGGACAGTGTCGTAATTCAAAGAAGGACAAAGTTTCCCAAGATTTTTAGAAAAGCAGTGGAGAGCCCAGCCTGTCGGATCTCCTCCCTGAAATAAACATACAGGAAGCCTCAGGGTGACTTTCCGGACAGATCTGGCTGGGCATCTGTATCACCAGGCAGGCCCTTTTATGCCCTCCTTGATTGTTTTATTGGAAATTAGTGTGTAGCCTTTATCAAACTTAGCAGTTAAAATGAATATGTAAAAGACATGGCTAGAAACAACAGAAAATTTCACCCACTGACTGTAAATCCTTGCAGAGAGGGTTCTGAAGGAGGAAAGCTATTCCATGTAGTTATTTAATACTTATGATGAAGTAAACTGGCCCCTTTGCTAGGGTCTGTATGGGGGCAGTGGGAGGAAGTGTCACTTCCCTTTTAGTTTAATTCACAACTGAATAAAAAGAAACTAGAGTTTAATAAAATACAGCATTGAAGCTTCTTGATTTTTTTTTCCTTTGGTGAAATTAGCTTTTCTTTTAGGAGTGGTGGGGGTAGAAAGTAGAAGTCAAGAATATAAAATGTAAAAACAATCTTTCCCTCCACCCCTAGGAGTTGCAAAATGTTAGCAAGGCCTGGGTAGCCCTGAAGGCAATCTGAATGGAAACATCTGGATTTCCAAAGCGCTTTTGATGGAGCACTAGGTTTGGGGATACAGGTGAACTGGCATTCACTTTTCCAGGAAATTTGTCTTTCATCTTTAATGGTCAAGGGGTGGAAAGAGGGGACTCTATTTTTCCAGGAGCATCTTAGGTCAATTGCAGAGAGAGGTAAATTCTGCTTATCCAATATTGGCACCAGTGTTAGAAGCGCCTCTCAGCATAGAAATCTGAACACCTTCCCTATCCAGCCTTCCACAATCTGCCTACTTGCTGGAACAAGGCATTATTGTGTCCTAGTAATTTTCAGATGTTCCCACTTGGAAGACATTCTAGAGCATAGACAATTTTATTACTAATGAAAAAGAAAGCCAAGCATCCAAGCCTTCTGTTCTCCTCCCCAATCCCTGCATAATCTTGCTACATGGGGGAGGGACAGTAACCAGAAAAAGTAGAAAGAAAGGAGACTCGACCCCCATAGCCCATGTCAGATACGCCTGTGTTGGATGTTAACCCTCTGGTAACTTCGCAGCTTCATAACTGTACTCTGTTCTGTCTCTCTGTCTCTATCTCTCTTTCTGACAAACTCACACACACAAACGCGGCATATGTCAAAACCAGAAATTTCAAGCAACTTAGTAATAGGACACTCTAACAACCAACCGCGCCCCTCCACCCCCTTACTCAACAATAACCAGGAAACATCGGCACGCTGACCAGTCCCGGTGACACAGTTCCCAAGCAACACGTAAACTGAAGAACTTTCTTTCTCCCTGTCACTTTGTGGGCAGCGTCCAGGGCCCTTGTATACGCAGAACTTGGAGTCTCCGAGTCCAAAGACAACGATCATTCGCACTAAGAGCAAACTTTGCACACATTTCTGCGGGCAAGTCCGCAGCTCCCCAAAGTATGCAAGCCTCCCTTCCACGCCCACCAGTGAGGAGCCTGGAAGCCTCTGTTGGGTAGCAAAGCAGCAGTTCCGACATATAGCCTCTGTCGCTGCGCACACCTATTCCCCATCCTCCCATCCAACTCGCGCTCCGCACCTCTGGCGCCCACTTCCAGAGAACCTGCACCACAACAAGCGGAAAGAAGAGACGGGCAAAAGGAGAAAGGATAAAAGAAAGCGAGCTGTACAGGCTGCACTTACTCACTTAGGAGTTCTCTGCGTCTCTCTTCATTCATTCAACTCGGCCGAAGTGCAGTTCCCTCCCGGAGTCGGGGTGGCAGGGTCGGGGAGGGGGTGGGCGAAAGGGGCACAGGGAGCCGGGACGCCAAGAGCCGGGAGGGAGCAGCGGAAGGCGGCCGGCTGGGCAGGCGAACGGGACCGCGGAGCCTAGCGCGAGCCACCGGGCGGACTGGCCCTGGCCGCCAATGTGCCTTTGTTTATGTGGCTCGCGCTGCCGCTGCCAACATTCACCTAAAGTCTCCGCGCGTCAGCGCGCGTCAGCGGCCTGCCGCCCAATCGCCGCGCCGCCGCGCTCCCCAGACTCCTGGCCCGCGCTCGCTTTGGTATATTTCCGACCTGACGTCACGAGTGGGCTG